TCGTAAGCGTAAAAAGGTCGTACGCGCTGTTTGTACGATCATAATTAACCGGCGCGTTCTTTCCTCTCTAACATTTTTTTTTCCGGTACTCTCTTCCGCCGGTGAGTAATTAATCGCATGGCGCGCGAATGACGTTTTATTTAATTTCGTCATTATATCTGGCTTCAACCGTACGAACGTGGGGGAGAGCCGACAGTAATAATTAAAATCTTTCGGTTCGACAGCTCGCGCATTGAACCGTGCGACGAGATGGGAACATATTGTACAAGAGCGCAAAGGTTCAACGATGGGGCTTTGGTTTCATTAATATTTTTCATTCGAGCAAAAAGTAGCGCGCGATGCTTTGCGCCTGTGTAATTGTGATGAACAACTATTTTCGTCCGACAAACCAGTTCGCACATATACGTTCATCGTTCATCCCGTATAATTGTCCTCGTATCGTCGAATCGTTTCACAAACAGGCTCGAACTTAATTTGCGAACTTAATAATAAATCCTTTGGATTAGCGAATATTAAAATGTTTTCTCATCTCACTACTTCTCGTAAATTTACCGTATATATTACGCATAAAATAAGTAGGTAAAAGACTCGCGACACTCAAAGTGCGTTTCATGCCTACGACTATATTACGTCGAATGCATTAGGCAGCATGCAAATGACTGTCGGCACGATTTAATTGAAAATGTAATAATCTGGTTGGTTGTTAGCAAAGGCAAGATTAAAAAGCCGCCGTCTCTAAAGTTTTCAGGGATTCTCACGAACGAGGCTCGCAGAGTTTACGAATTTAATATAAACGGTATCCCCTGGCATACACGTTTGAAGATTAGAGTTTACTCATGAAAGAAAATTGGTATGCGTATAATCGATGCAAATATTTTATCGTGTTTGTTTGATGTACCGAGAGATATATATTTTTTTAACAAACATTTGGCTCTTTTGCGCTGATATTTAACAGTCTTTAATAAATAATTAATGGATACCTAAATGAATTCAGTGTAATTCATAATCGATCATTATTTGATGTTTAATTACAATTCTACGAATGTATGATTATTTTGCAATGTCCACTTTTCAGAAATTCATATCTTATAATTACTGATTATCTGGTCAATTGAACATCTATCTATCTAACATATGATAATTAATCATTAACGTGATTTGAATGTCGTGAGAGATTCCTTTTTCGATTATCATTCTATTATTTTCATACAACTAATCAATTGTATTATTTATTTGTACAATTGATAGATCATAGATATAAAATAAACCTAGAATAAAGATGTAAAATGCAACCTCACAATTAATAATTAATTAGATATAGAAATAAGAATTCTATTTATACATTATAACTTAACTTGAAAAATCAATCATTCTCCGCAATGAATGAGAATCGACTATGAATACTAATGATAGATTCTTCAAACAGTAATTCGTAGAATAGAGGCGGATATATGACATATGAATAGGTAATGTAGGTATAATGAATTGTCTATTACATTCAAAATTAAATATAATGTTTGTTTCCAAATAAATGTTTAAATATTTCATTATCAAGATAAAAATTACAATAAAAATTGTTATAAATTATAAAATATTTATTCCATTAATAAGTTAAACTAAACCATTTACGTGAATAACATAAATAAATAGAGGAGAAGTTTAATAATATTTTTATGAATTCTAATATTTCTGTGAATAAATAATAACAAATATTGCACTCGCGGAGCGAATTCAACAAAATCTAATAACGCAGTCGAAGCTTAGTGACTAACTATATGTAAAATAAATATATGATTTAATAATTTCAATAGAAATATTATATTTTAGTCACTAATTTGTTATTATTTATTCTTTTGCTTTTAATTTCGTACACTTATTTTCTGCCCATTACTTTTCTAATGTATTCGTTTGTTAAGATATTTTTGAAGAAGTCTGTGCCGTGCATACACATCATAAGGAAAAAGTCAAGTCAATGGCATCCATTCAATTAATTCGTCCTCTTGTTCGTTCTGATGAAATGTCGAGATACGACATCATTACTTCAGGATAAAGTAAAGATGTGGAAAGGATGATACTGGAATAGTTCTCGTTTCCTCGTACAACGTATCTACAGATACTCTCGTCCAGGCTTGGATATCATCAGATCAGATAAGTGCGCTTCCGCCGTATAGAAGAATTACAGACCGCGCTGCGCCGGGCGCGAAAAAGATGAATCAAGCCTCGCAACGCCTTCTGTTTGACATACAGTACGTTTCAAGTATATCGTTTGTGGAAATAATGCCTATATCGCACGAGATCGGTGGAAGTATCATGCTGGAGGAATACTAATGTGATGAAAAGTCGCTTGCAATGCGTACGGTGAACGCATTACATGAATAGACTAACGAGAAAGATATATGTATAATGAGATATTGATGCTGCCACTATAATTACGTTATTATATCAAACTTATAGCTACGAAATTTATTGTATTCTACTGTAGGAAGTCAAACTTAATATCACCCAGCGGAAATTGTTTATCCTTCTGAATCTAAAGATCGATAGTCTCGCGAGTTTCGTTTATGATCATTTCTCACTTTACATACACATACACTCTGTCTCTCTTTTTCTCTCTAAAGATAAAAAAGATGTAGTTTATCGAAGAAGCGTCACCTAATCACATTGATGGAAATCGATACTATTTGATGCACATCAAAAATCTCTGAGCTTAAATTAATCGCATAATCCTATTCCGATACTGCTGCTAATTAGTGTAGTATTAAGCGGAGATTCGAGTCCTTATCTTCGAGTACGTACTAATGCCGCGATGCATATATGCGTTAACGTTGAGATGTCACGCGTGCACGCGCACGTGCGTGTGTGCGCACACATCTGCTTCGATGCAGCTGGAGTTTGAGACGATTATCAGGTGCGTATTTGGAGTAATGTGCGTGGTCTGGAAGCTTGTGCGGTCGGTAAACTCTCCAAGCCATCTCAAATATCCTCTCTCACTCGTTACGTCATGATACGTGATTAAACGACTGAAATTTCTGCGCACGGCTGCTTGCTGATTAAAAATAAAACGTTAATTTTAACAGTGTATTAATGATGCTGTTAAAAGGAATTTAAAATATTAGTTTTTAAAATTGTTTTTTTCTTACACAAAATATAATTTTTGATGTTGTCATCGAAATCCGTATTTGATTATACCTGCAAGAAGCGATTTATTTAATATTATTAAATTTCGAATACATAAGTTATTACATCTTAAATCATGCTTGCGTGAAATTCATCGAAGTTTATTTCATGCATTATATTATATATAGATACAATGATTTGGAGTTTCATGATAGGCGAAGAATCGAAAGATCTCTGCTGCACGGAATATGCTTGGATGATACTTATAAGATATATATATATTTATCCACATGCTTAAAGAGTAGAGTCATACGAGGCAAATGATGATGTATTAATCTTTTGAATACGCGTCAAACATGCACAGACACGATGGATATGTATATTATTTATTGCAATCGACGTTATCAAAATTCCGTGCCGCTCTGCACTTGATACCTCGGTCTGATATCGCGGACGCAACCATCCATACAAATCGGATCTTACTAAATTGGAGTACAATTTTCACGAGCGGAGTTCCACGAGCTCGAGCTACGAAGGTAGGATAAGAAAAAAAGAGAAGGGGTGGTAAGATAAAGTCTCTATCCCTCTCTAAGCCGGCCGTGGAAGATGAAGCGAATCAAGTAACAGCGGTGGCTTACGTGCGATGCACCCCTAAACCATCGCTGAGGGAGCATCACGTGGAAATGCGTTACCCACGAAAGATCTGTGCTTAGAATTCTCAAGCCCGCTAAATTATATTTCATGTCACGGAGCCGATGATTCTTGAAATACATAAGCCGCGATGATAATCTCATTTCGTTAGTTGTGTTCGGCAGTGTCGCGACGTCCTTAACGCTTCCGGAAACTTATAATGATGGAAAGAAGTACAGAGTTAATGATGCATGTTTATAGGAAAAAAAAACATGTCTAATCAAAATATCTTTTGAAATATTGAAGAGAAATTATGATAGTTTATATTAAAAGAAGAAAAAATTATACGTCAACAGTCAAGTACACTGAGAAAAAATATATTATACTATATTTTAATAATTATTTATTTGATTAGTACTAATTTAACATTTACTTACGATAATCAAATATTTATACTAAATAAAAAAGACGTAAATCGTATGTTTTTATTTTATATCGTATATGTATATGTAAATTACATTTAATCGGTAAGACGATTCCATCAGAGTTTTGTTATCGTCCTCTTAAAATGCACAAAATTACCCACATCTTTCAAAAGGCAAAATATATGAAAAATTTTTATATTATATATTAATGCTTGTATGATATAAAAGCATACAAAGATTAATGTATAAAGTAATTGATATTTATATATTCTATTTATATAATTACTTACAATCAATGCATAACACATATTAATCAAATAATATATTGTTCCAATATATAATACAATTTTGTCTTTATATTTTATATATGTATATATAAATACATATTATAACTGTTGCATAGTCTTTAAATTAGATGTTTGTAGCAGAATGCTATAAACTGGATGGCATTTTCTTCAGCCTCACCTTCTACTAATAAGTTGTTATTTTTATCTCCAATATCGGGTGGGCTGTTGCATTATCATCTTCGACTGAGTTGTAAGTATTCTTATCACTAGAATTTTTTCAGTTAAAATTATTAATTAATGTAATTATCTAGAGTTCTACATTTTTAATGTAGAAGCCAAATTTGCGACTGTATTTACGATCATGGTGCAACTTTATCACATATTCACGATCTTAAATCAAAAAAATTTCAATCTCCAATAATTTTAATCCATAAGTATCTTAATTTTGACATTTCGAATATAACGTAATCACTAACGAAAGCCATATGTCTCATCTATATTGCTACTACCAGAATTATTATCGTCGTTGTTATTGTTACCGTTGTTATTATCAGATGCGCTGTTCCATGTTTCCATCGTTATTATTAACTGTGCCGTTGTCTCCATCGTTATTAAGCGTGTTGTTTTCGTTTCCATCAACGGGTGCGTTGTTTCCATCGTCACTATTGGATACGGTGTGGTTTCCATCACTACTTTCGGGTGCGCTATTGCTTTCATCGCCATTTTCAAGTATGCTGTTTCCATTGCTGATATTGGCTGCGCTGTTTTCTCCATCGCCACTTTTGGCTGAGTTGTCATTTTCATCCCTAGCATCAGGTGCGGTGTTTCTTTTAGCCTCATCTATTGGGTTATTATTTCCATCCTCGGCATCGGGTGTGCTGTTTCCTGCGTCGCCATTTTTGGCTGAATTGGTATTCTCATCCAGCTCATCCCCAGCATCATTGTTTTCTCCGTTGTCACCTTCGGTTGAATTGTTATTTCTATCTCCTGCGCTGTTCCCATCTTTGGTATCAGGTGCGCTGTTTCCTCCGTTTCCATCTTTGGCTGAATTGTTATTTTCATCCTCATCATCAGGTGCGTTGTTTCCTGTATTCCTAGCATCGGATGCACTATTTCTTCCATTGTCACCTTCGGTTGAATTGTTATTTCTATTTCCTGCGCTGTTCCCATCTTTGGTATCAGGTGCGCTGTTTTCTCCGTTCCCATCTTTGGCTGAGTTGTTATTTTTATCCTCATCATCAGGTGCGTTGTTTCCTGTATTCCTGGCATCGGATGCACTATTTCTTCCATTGTCACCTTCGGTTGAATTGTTATTTCTATCCTCTGCATCGAGTTCGCTGTTGTTTTCATTCCCAGTATTGGGTGCGTTGTTGTTCCCATCTTTGGTATCGGGTGCGCTGTTTCCTCCGTTTCCATCTTTGGCTGAGTTGTTATTTTCATTCTCATCATCAGGTGCGTTGTTTCCTGTATTCTTGGCATCGGATGCACTATTTCTTCCATTGTCACCTTCGGTTGAGTTGTTATTTCTATCCTCTGCATCGAGTTCGCTGTTGTTTTCATTCCCAATATTGGGTGCGTTGTTGTTCCCATCTTTGATATCAGGTGCGCTGTTTCCTCCATTTCCATTTCTGGCTGAGTTGTTATTTTTATCATCAGCATCAGGTGCGTTGTTTCTTCCATTCCCGGTATTGGGTGCACTATTTCCTCCATTGTCATCATTGGCTGAGTCGTTATTTCCATCCCCGGCATCAGATGCACTGTTTCCTCCATTCCTGGCATCGGGTGCACTGTTTTCTTCATTGCCATTTTCAGCTGAGTTGTTATTTTTATCTCCTGCATCAGGTGCGTTGTTTCCTCCGTTGCCATCCTTGGCTGAGTTGTTATTTTCATCCCCAGCATCGGGTGCGCTGTTTCCTTCATTGCTACTTTCAGCTGAGTTATTATTTTTATCTCCTGCATCAGGTGCGTTGTTTCCTCCGTTGCCATTCTTGGCCGAGTTGTTTCCGTCTCCGGCATTAGGTGCGCTGTTTCTTCCGTTGCTATCCTTAGCTGAATTATTATTTCCATCTCCGGCATTGGGTGCGCTGTTTCCTCCATTGCCACCTTCGGCTGAGTTGTTACTTCTATCCCCTGCTTCGGATGCGCTGTTGTTTTTATCCTCGGCATTGGATCCGCTATTGTTTTCATCCCCGGCATCAGGTGCGTTGTTATTTCCATTGTTTTCTTCACTATTTTCAGAAGTTTCAGATGTGTTCTTACTTTCTTCACTACTAGATGCGCTCTTATCTTCATTATTAGGTATCTTGATAGTTGTACTTGGAGCAGGTGTTGTTAAAGTACTTTTTGCATAACCTTCCACGTGTATATTCATTCCTTCCCTATGTCTTCCAACAACTATTATAGCTATATTTGTCTTACTAAGTCTTTTCGGTATAAATCGAGTTTGTTGATTTCCTATATTTGTCATTTTAATATGGGTAAGTATTGTATTGTCTGGAGCTCTTACACATATTGTGATTATCATAGGCTTGAAAAGGGAAGGCTGCAATTTATAAATAGGATATTAGTTTATAAATAAGATATTAATCATAAAATTATGAGACTATGTGAGATATATTTTGGTCATTTAAAATCTAAGTATCTAAAACTGTATTACCACTAAAATTTATGAATAATCGATAAAATAATTATAATAGTGCATTGTGTAATTTATGTTTTGTCTTACACTTACGTTTTAAGTAAATTGATGTAATTAATTGATATGATATAAAGGTCAATTAAATTCAAATAGGAAATTTAAGACATATCAGATAAGACTTAATGCAATATTTTTATTATTTTTAATATCTACAAAATTTGATATAACATTTGTACATGTAAATTAAAATATTAAAAAGCTTTCTGTGAAATTCGATAATTAAAATCTGGATTATAAAAGATGAATTGTTCTGTTTTTTATTAAATATATATGTACATGAAATAATTACGACCGAAATAGTCATTTACCTTAATAATAGTTCTGTTAGTAATGAGGTAATCGTCTTTTTGACGTTCACCTATGACAAAGTCATTCCGATAAGTTCCTATTTTGCTGCAGACAGCCAAAGTAAGACACAAAAGCACAGAAAATAAAATCCTCATCTTAGAAAGCTAATTGTGAAGCCGTCCGTTGACTAAAATCATACTGTTCAACTGGTACTTGCCGAACGTATTTATATCTTCGCGTTATCATTTCTCATGCTTGGCTCCACAAAGAATCGCACCGTATTAACTCTCAGATTTCTATTTCAATGACAATAGCTTACGTAAGGTTATTTGTTTCATCTTCTGTTTCATCTTCCGTTTCATCTTTTCTGCAGGTTGTAGAAATTTCTCGGCATGACGTGTTTTCATTCTTTTGGATACTGAGAGAGGAGGAAATGTGCACACTAATTACTTAAATGTAATTATACTTTGAGAGATTTTACAATTTTTAATTTATTTTTATTATCACATAATATACTTTATATATATATTTAAAGAAATATTACTAATTTTTATATTTAATATTACGATTAATATTTATCATATTAAATAAGTTATAGTATACACAAAATGATTTCATGAATGACTAAATATAATATAATTTATAAGAAAAATAATAACAAAACAGATTTATATTTTCAAAATCTTTTAATATGTGTGGTTCTCTAAATATTTTATTAGGATGAAAAAAAAATTACTGCTGTATAATAATATGTATGCATTGATAAAGGATGCTTTTTTATTTGTTTTATATATTATGTATTATATATTTATTGTATAATTATTATGTATTTATATTATATACATATATATATATATATATGACATTATATACGCAGTTTTATACGCAGTTTTATTACACAGATGAATATATTACATATTCTATTTTTCATAATATTGTGACATAAAATTGATATTTAATAAAAATTAGGGATGCACCGGATATCCGGCTAGTATTTGGTTTCCGGCAATGTATGCGGCCGAAATTTTATATTGAAATTACGCGCGTCATTATGTGAATACCCTGAAAAGTTTTATTATCAATGATATATTTTTTAGAAATGTAGTACCGGATATCCCTAATTTTTATTAAATATCAATTTTATAATATAATATCATGAAAAATAGAATACTATAATATGTCATCTCTAATAAAAATATCATCTTTGTTTCATGTGATATAATTATCTTCCTGGAAACTTACTTCCAAATATTTCCAGCTCATTGTTATATTAAAGCTACTGATTGGGGGTCTGATAACGTAAATATCATTGATAAACTTTACACGTGTCATTAATAATATCAGTTTTCTCACGTAAATGCGTGTCTAATCCAAATCAAATATCACTACTGAAAAACAACGTTTAAGAGAAATCATACATCGCTTATGATTTCTGCGGAATTATGGAATATTTCAAAGTTTTTATTGTCTTACCTGCGACATTATAAATAAAATAAATACTAGGATAAAATTATTCACTATAATTTGTTTGCTCTATCTTATCTATTTTATGTATTTTTCTGCAAATGAATATAAACATATAGCTATATATACATATGTGTATATATAATACTTACATACATGCATAAAATGTACATTTCGAGATTTTTAATTTAGTATTTTTCAGGTAGTTACATAATTAATCATCAAAAATCTTTATGAGCATCATCTTGTAAATATCTTCGCTTCAACAATTAATTATTTTTACTTTATTTCTTTTGTTCGCATCAATAATGTCGTCGCGATTTTTTTCTGATCTTCGCAACTCTGTCGACCATATCGCGCAAATTAATTTCTTTTCATAAATTCAACGCGAAGGAACGTTTCATATTCAACGCCATAACTCGAAACGTGTTCCTCGGTACGTGTGTAATCTCGAATCTCAGACTCATCATTTTCAGCCGCGTCAGCTTATGGTACGTGAGACCGTAAGAATTAGCTAAGTGAGTAGCTACGGTAGTAGCTCTACAGCTTTTACACATGCAGAACCGGTGGTAGACTTGGCTGAAACGAACGAATCATACGAAATTAACAAATAGCTTATCCTATCATCGAAAGATATAACTTACAAATATTTTCCTATGTAGACAATGACGATCGTTTAATAGCTGGTAGACGTCGAAAAGCGTTTCCGGTCTACTACTGACAATTTCTGAGAGCTGCTGAGAAAGTATAAAATCTTTTTTAAAATTCAGTCCTAATAATGAATTTGAAATTCATATTCGCGACATTAAACATTGCCGGGAAGTGCTTGAATTTAACAAAAGATCATTAATCTCGTTCTCTTTAATACTTACATATAATTTCTTTTCTCTATCAAAAGTATTGATTTGTTGCAAGGTATATTGTATTTAAATCTTTGATGATTAATAATTGATATTATATATCTTGCAAGGTAAAAGATTTATAAAATACATAATAGGATATTATTAATAGAACAATATGCAATCTATTGGGAACATATTCGTTAATAATACAATACGTAATAAAATTGAAATAATAGATTCATATGCTATTCAGGGTGAAGTCTATTATACATTAATTTTCATGAAAAAAGTACGAATGAATTCACTTCATCCGTAAAGAAATATAAAATGTTTAATCCTATTAATTTGTGAATCGTTATAATTCATGGTTTTATAAAAAGATACGTATTTTTTTATGAGGGATTTAATTTAAATACTATAAAAAATGAATTTTTAACTGATATTTATATTGAGCGTATATGCAGGTACATTCAAAATTTTTATTAAAAATTATCAGAGAAATTGTCAGATGAATATTTCATCGAATAATGATTTTACAATTGTACGTCTATAATCACTGTGTAATTTGATACATATTATTGATCAACATACATACACAAAACACGCTTATGCATTTATTTCGGCATTTATAAAAAAAAGTTTTCTCTAACGAACTATATGCTACATAAAATTTCGAAAAAAAACGTGTTAGTTCAATATTGAACTGATAAGAAATCTTATCTCGTTGAGATCACGGTCGTTATATCCTCATTATTTTGTTCGGTTAGCAATCTAAAAGTAACCAGAGTGAATCAGAGATATGCCCTCTGTATTTCACTCGAAATGTTTGTCGTATGTAAATTGTAATTAAATTGAATTGTAAATATTTTCTTATAACAAACGTATTCAGTACGTTTTATACAAGATTTATTTTACGCAATCACGTTCCAAATTACGTGTTATATGAATGCTTAGGTAAATGAAACTACAATTAAGTGTATATAATATTAATTTTTTTTGAAGAACTTTAATTAATAAACTTAAACTACCAATTTAATTTTCAAAAGCTTCTTTCAGATAGCAATCACACGCCAATTAAAATAATAAGAATATATATCGAATCTCTTATTTATAAACTTAAGAATAGAATTTCATGCGATGCTGTTGTGTGTTAGATAAGGGAGAAAAGATGCTTAACGATCGCCTTTGAAACGTTTTTCGTACCAATATATAAATGCATTGCATCATCGCATCCTCTACGTATATGTTCACGCGGCTGCTGGTAATTACTCACGTCACGTAGCCGCGTTGCTGGCCACGGATACCATTTTTTATACTATCAAGAGGTGCCAGCAGCCCGCGCAGTCCGCCATCCAGCGGGTAATATCAGCCGATGCTTTTTATTAACGCCGAGAAGAAGAGAGACCGTGTATCGATCCAATAAACGCCGTCACGTCGGATCGGGCGAGAACAATCGCTACAGAGGATAAAATTCTCCGCTTGATCTGACCGCGAGTGGAAATGGCACGTCACGTACTGGCGATCTCTTCTTTCATTAACGTTACGAACGTTTCACGCATCGCTCCTAATCACTGCCCGCGAGTACAAGCTATCACGAACATCGTGAAAAGAAACCTGCCATTCCCTCTTTCTCTCTCCCATTTACACGCGCGTGTATGCCCTTGTTTCTACGATTCCCGTCGAACTTAAATCCCGACTATGTAGTTTCTCAAGTTAATTCATTATCAACTTAATTCATTATTTTTTTATTTTATTCTTTAGAGATCTGTAAAAAGTTTAACATAATGAAAAATATCTTGTTAGACGTATGAGTTATGCATAAATTAAATTGAATATTTTCATTATACTTTAAAACCTTGTTCTTGAACTACCCTTTACTTGTAACAGCTTCATTAATGATTATCAGACAAGTTAAGCTCTTGAGAATGATATCATCGTGAAATTATAAATGCTTTCCAATGGGTTGTATATTTAGATACTTTCTTGTACATAGATTTTCTCTATCTCATTTCTATTTTAAAATGATTCTGTCTTACTAGCATTATTTTATAAGTTACTCTTATAATTTTATAAACATTCTAATTTTTCTATTAAATTCGACAAAATTTTCTGCAAAATGAATTGTCAAAAGTATTTTTGATTCATCGTCAATGGAACTAATTTCATCATACTCTGACATTATTATTTCACGTCCATTATTGTTCACGCGTTTTGCGTAAAAATAGAGAATTTTATCCGCTTCACACTATAAATTTTCAAAAGCCCGATGTCAATCAGAGCATCAATTCGATAAATATTAAACTAGGTGGGGTATCAATCAACCATCAATGCGTCTTGTCCTGAGCAGACACGCAAATGGCTGACTGTGAACATATTCTCTCCTTGCGGTGACATCGATATCGCATACGTATTACGCATCGTTTGTCATCATTATCCGTACCGTAATTAAAACTTTCCGACTTATGATGAAGGATTGCGCGACCTGATTTCCATGAAAATAGAATGGTCATTGTAAATATATCATGCTTTGTCCTATATAAAAATGTAACATTGTTCAAAAACTGTCATTTTGACCAGTGCGATATGAAATACGCTCCGATCCTGTAAAAGTTCGCCGCAAGAGACTGCATCGTTTGCAGTTATATGAATTAATAAATAAAAACATATATATTTACTAAATAATAAATATTCTATTATATTAAATTATATTTACTAAATAATGAATAAATTATACAATAACATAAATACATTTACAAAATATATTTATTGTTAATATAGAAATTATATAATAATGAGTTATAAAAAAATAATAATAAAATATACAACAATAAGATAAGTAGTAAAAAATACGAAATAGTAATATTTTGAAAACCTTGTTCTT